CATATATACAAAAACATTCACTAACACGTATCAGTCAGTAGGTTTCATTTTTGTGCAATAATCCAATCTGCCAGCATTCTCAAAATATTTTTCATTCAGTTTTTGAATTCATGTTCTCATCCCAAACTGAATGAAATGCTTTCCGATGAGCTTAGTTATCGGATCATTGCATTTCAAACGAAAAATTTTAAGTATCGAAAGGAATTGCAAGAGATTTCATGTGGATTTTGTTTTTCCTCATTTTTTTAGCATAGCGATTTTGGTGATTTTGGTAGGCGCATTGATGAAAATGTTTCACCAAAAAACTAGGTGTGTGGTTGTTTTGTGTACAAGGATGCTAATGTGAGGAATAGTTTTCGATCGGTGCGAGAGTCGAATATGGTTTTGTTGAATTGACTCAATATCAGAAATTATCTCGACGATTCGAAATATTCGAATGCAGACAGCAGTAAACGATAATTTCGCTTATTTGTTCATAGATACTATGCAAAATAAATGTACGTGGTTGTGGGCTGTTTGTGTGCGAGTAGTTGTTGCTGACAGTTTTTTGAAGAACACTGACAAATTGGACAAATTGAACAAGAACGAAACTGAACAGCTGTTAATCAGTTGTTGATGTTAGAGGAACGTGACACCGTTGATATCACTGATCAACTCGGTTATAACTCCGGCTTGCAACAGCATATCGCTATCCTCCTCCACTTGCTTATTATACTCTTGCTTTGCATCGCCCTTGCACGCGTCTTCAGATCGAGTTTCATCGTCTGCGGTCACCAGCTGCACTGCTACCGTGTCCTCGTTGTCCTGCAGCACCGTATCGGCAGCAGCACTCTCTTTCGACAACTCCCCTCCGCCAATATTAATCTTCCGCCTCAAATGCCTTCGTAAACTGTTCGAGATGAACACACCCGTATCGCTGCTGTGGTGTTGCACGAACTGTCGATCGGTCATTTGCGCTCGTCGTTCACTGTCGTCAACAGATGTGCTTGAGTGGAATGCAGTCGGAACACGTTGTATGATTGATTTTAACCGAAGTCGTTTCGTATACGTCGACTTGAAACATGGAAATTTTTGTAGGAATGTGATGCGATAGTCTTGTGAGCACGCACAAAACACATAGAATTGTGACGCATGATTGGTGATCTCGAGCAGATTCGCCAACGCTCGGAATATCTCGTAGTCAACACGTTGTTTGACAGTCTCGTTGATGAACAACAGATTGATTGCGGCCGGTATATTGCAAATGAAGAACATCACCACGATGCCAGCCAAGATATAGATCAGAGTATCGTCCTTATTCGTTGCGCTCACATTCTCTTTGTTACGATTCGTCAGACGTGCGAACATTTTTTGACGTTTTCGGAATGCGGTCACTATTTGAACGTTCAGCACGCATAATATGATTATCGGTGCGAATCTCAACAAGCCTTCACGTGTCCACTTGTATGCCTGCAATTGATAAATGCATGCATGATGCTAGTGATCTATTTGAAATCTTCGAAAAGGAACTGAAAATTTGCCCAAACGAAGAACCGATCATCGATCGATTTCATTGAAATGAAGACTATCTCGTTCAGATCTCGTTAGCATTATTGCTAGACTCATTTTATCCCTTGAATACATGTACACTAGTCAAAATTTTGCATTTTTTTGCAATTCCAAAAAAGCCACTTTTCACATTTCCATTTCCACAAAAATTTAGTAACATTTTCCAGAGAAGGTCAATTGCAAATACTCCTCATTAATTATGTATTTCACAGAATCGACAATTAACTCAGTTTCTCGCTGAATGAATGCACAAAAAATGAAACGCATTACAGGATTCTAGTCGACTGAAAGTGCAAGCATTATCGACGAAAATGTTGAATGATAAAAGAAAAGAGCGAATTTTTTGGGACTAAGTCCCTGATGATTTCATTCAAAAAAAAACTGCGTGGACGTCCGTCTGTCTCACTCACCTGCCATTTGACCGTTTTTGAGATGTCGCTATCGATCGCCTTAAACAATCGAACACCGCCGGCGTTGATGCGCTCCGCAACCTGATATCGACCGATACCATACGGAATATACAAAATGGCCGGGATCAGATAGGCGGCAGCGATGGCTTTGGTGGCACGTTGTGGTGAATTCCAAATGCGGAAATGCATCGGGAATACGATCGAGACGAATCGCTCGAGGCTCAACGCAACCACAACGAGCACACCAGTTGCGAGTGCCCAGTTGATTAAGGACAGCATGAAATGTGCTTGATATATGGCGTAGTATCGAGAACGACTCAGTGCCATTCCACATCGCTGTAATATCTCACCACTCACAAACAACAACACAAATATCATACAAAACAAGTCCGCAACTGCCAGTGCACGTAAATACATATAGGAAACAGCTCGTAGACGACGACTGGCCAACGTGATCAAATTCGTTATGTTACCAATAATACCAACCACACAAATTATCGGTAGTATATAGCAATAGGTAATCAGCGTGATTTGAGTTTGTAGTGAAAGATTTGTTGTGGTCACGGAAATATTCCGAGATGAGGCGGTTAGTGGCATTGGTGCGGTTGTGGTTGGCAGATGATGATTATGGTGATATTGAGAATGCTCATGGTGCTGATATCCCATCATTGTGAGAAGTACTGACGTTGATGGAGGTGACGAGAACATCCGAGGTACTGGTATGAGATGATGATGCGATCTGATGGACAATTAGAATCGACGTGCACGAGTTAATCCTCTGAAATCTGTTGGAATTAGCTTATTGATGCGTGTGAGAACAGCAACGACAACAAGGCGACAGCGAGCACAACAATATACGCAAAAAGTTCATGGTTTGTCGATGACAACGGCAAAAAAGACAATCACGCGCAATCAGTTCAAGAAAGCCTACTAATGTGTTGGAGCGACAATTCTCCTCTCATTTCTGCACCATTCAACGACGAGTTTGCTGAATGGTTTGTGCAGTCGGTGTGGGTGGGTGTTGAATGCTGCTAACAATGAATTAGTTTCACTGAATCGAATGACGACGCTGCGTTGGTGATTCTGTTTCAGTGATT